GGGCAGGCTGTGAGGCTGACACACGTGCTCACCGGCAAAAACCTGCACACGCACCACTTCCCGTCGCCGCTGTCCAATAACCAGGTGAGCCCCCCCACCCCCCGGGCCCCAGATTCCTGGCGGGGGGAGAGGGTGTGGGGCCGGGGACAGAGCCTACGCTTCGTCTCACCTCTGAGCCTCAGCTTCCCCTGGGAAATGGGAATTTACATTCACAAATGTTTACCGAGCGCCCCCTCTCGGGGACACACGGGACTCCTCCGAGGTCCCGCTCAGCCCAACGGAAAGATGGACAAGGAAGCGTGTGATCTGAACCTGCTGGTAGCTCCACTCCTAGGGGGCGAGTTGGACCCTGGAGGGGATCCACGTGGCCTTTGGGGTGGGGAACCCGAAAGGGAGGAAGAGCTTAGGCTTGGTCTGGAAGGATGAGCAGGAGTCCTCCAGGCCACGGAGAGGAGCAGAGAGCATCTTTCCAGGCCCCCGGAAGAGCTTGTGCATGGAGTTCACTGGAACTGGGTAGCGGGGAGGCTAGGGAGGAAGTGGGAGTGGAACAGAGCGTGCTTGGGGGAAGGGAGGGGGGCTTGTTCGAGGAAAAAATACGAGCTAAGTAGAGACCTTGACTGTCAGCCTGAGGGATGGGACTTTATGTTGAGTTAGAGGGGTTAGGATGGAGGTAGGGGGACATAGAGGAAGAGAGAGGAGGCCTTGGCTCTGTGGGAGACAGTGGTCACCACCCAGACAGCTGGGGTGGGGTCAGCATGTGTTTGGAGAACCTGTGTTGTGAAGGCCCTACTGGGTATTGGGGCTGGGGGTTGTGTTGTCCCATTTTGCAGCTGTGGAAACTGAGGCTCAGAGGGACAGGGAAGAACCTGAGGCCCAGTGCCCTAGGTATGAGTGCTGCTGCCAGGCGAGTGACCACAGGGGACTGACTCAGTGTGCCCTCTGTGGTGACTACTGTCCCCCCCCCCCCCCACCCATAGGAGGTGAGCGCCTTTGGGGAAGACGGTGAGGGTGACGACCTTGACCTGTGGATTGTGCGCTGCTCGGGGAAGCACTGGGAGCGGGAGGCCGCCGTGCGCTTCCAGCACGTGGGCACCTCTGTGTTCCTGTCCGTCACCGGCGAGCAGTACGGGAGCCCCATCCGTGGGCAGCATGAGGTGCACGGCATGCCCAGCGCCAACACACACAATACGTGGAAGGCCATGGAAGGCATCTTCATCAAGCCCAGCGTGGATGCCTCTGCAGGTCATGATGAACTCTGAGTGCCGTGGATGGGTGGGTGGAGGGTGGCAGGGTTGAGGCGTCTGTAGGGCCACTCTTGGTGAAGACTTTGGGTTTGTAGGGGTTCTTAAGTGCCTTTGTTAATTAAAGAATGTTGGTCTGTGATTGTTTTGGAGTGAGTCTGGGTGTGATCAGGAGGTCCCAGCTCTTTCTGGCCCAGTTCACCATCTCTTCCTCAGCACAAAACTGCTCTCTCCCACACAGCTAAACAACTGAACCTGTCCAAACCCTTCTGGTGCCTTTCCATGCATTCCAGCACTGCTCTGCCACCCTCAGACTGTCTGATGGCAAGTGACCCTCTAACCCCTGAGCTTCACGAACCTTCCTGTTAAGAGCTGTGGCCAGGGCCTCAGCAGGATAAGTGGAAGCCCCACTCTTTTCAGCAGGGGCGAGATACAAGCTCTCCAGACCCCTCCTCACTCCTTGAGGTGAGGACCCCCACTTTCCTGACACCCCTCCCCTAGCAATTGTGAAAGTATTTGGCATTTGTTTTAATTTACTATATATATATGAATGAATGATTTCAAAGAGGAAGGGAGAGGGAGAGAGGGATGGGATAGAAACATCATGATAAGAGAGAATCATTGATCAGCTGCCTCCTGCAGGCCCCATACTGGGGATCGAGCCCGCATCCCGGGCATGTGCCCTTGACCGGAGTCAAACCCAGGACCCTTCAGTAGAGAACTGCTACCTGCATAGATCTGAGAAAACTTCCTGGAAGAAGAGGCACAATTTAGTCAGGCAAAGCCTTATTGCAACTTGGCAGGAACAGTGAATAGGAGGGCACTAATAAAGGAAGGTAACAGTTAGCTCTGCTGGTGTGTGGATGACCTCTAGAGGTTGTGGTGGAGATTACAGGCTCACTGGACTTGCTAAACACTCAGATGGGGTTGTGTGGGGAGGGTAGGGGCTTAGAGTTGCTGCTGGGGAAAGAGGGAGCCATTTTCCTGAATGAATGTAAGAGTCCCAGGAGAGGCTGGGGGTAGCAACTGGCTGGAAGGGGGCTTGGTGGAGCGTGGGCATAACACCTTACATTTGAGAAATCAATTAACCTTATAGGGGTGGGAGAAACTGTAGCTAATTTTGAGGCCTGAGGGGAGGAGCGTCCTGGGTAGGCCCGTCACTCCCCACCCTCTCCCCTATGAGCTCCGGCTTCGCTCAAACACAGACCCCTTCCTGGCTGACCTCTCCACTGCCAAACCTCTCCAGCACTGTCTACAAGTCTACATTCCTCTCCCATCTCTCAACTGATGGGATTGGAGTCCAAGCAAATTCCAGTGGGGCTGTGAGAGAAGGAAAGACAGCTGGAGAAGGTTGCATTGTTGAGCAAGTTACCCTTGTGGGCAACTGGAGCTTAATTCCATGGGGAGTTCTGGGACTCCGTGTGGGAAAAGCATCAACGTTATCCAACCCAAGTATCTGCCCTCACTGGCTGAGGCTGCTGGTGGGTGAGGGGATTATTCTGCAGTGCTTCCCACTTGCCCTGGACATTGGGAAGTTTACCTGAGGGCTCTATTACAGCCAGAATAAAGAGTCTGGCAGGGAGCATCCTTTCTGTGGTGTTAATTGCCACGGGGCTGTTGGCTAGGCACCAATAGTGTGGAACACACTTTGCCCATCCAAGGGGGCACTCTAGTCCATCCCTGTCCCCTCCTGATCATAGGAGTCCCCTTCTGCCTCTGCTTATTACCTCCTCACCACCACACAGACATAAGTGCAGAGTATTTTTTAAAAATACATATTTTATTGATTTTTTTTTACAGAGAGGAAGGGAGAAGGAGAAGGATAGAGAGTTAGAAACATCGATGAGAGAGAAACAGCTGCTTCCTGCACACTCCCTACTGGGGATGTGCCCGCAACCAAGGTACACGCCCCTGACCGGAATCGAACCTGGGACCCTTCAGTCCGCAGGCAGATGCTCTATCCACTGAGCCAACCTGGTCAGGACAAGTGCAGAATATTAAGAGCAGAATCAAACAATGCACACAACATATAGTAATCCTTGGAAAACCAAGGTGGGAGCAGGTAAGATGGCTCGGGGCAGAATTCAGGACAAGACCCAAAGTTAACACCGCAGCAGCAGCAGCAGCAGAGTTCTCACTTATTGAACACAATGCCAGACGCTGGGCCAACGATTCTTGTCTTAATTTTGCAGAGGAGATGACCGAGGTTTGCAAAAATTCACACCTAGCCCTGCCTACCTCTAAAACATTTGCTCTCAGTCAGTGGGTTGGGAAAATAAAACGGGGGGCTGGGTAAGCACCCTGCCTCCTGCCTGCTGCCCCCTTCCCTCCCTCTGCAGCTATGCGAGGCGGTCGGTGTAGTATGTCTTTCCGGGCCATCAGCCGGGGAGGGCGGGGGGCACTTAATGGATGCTTATTCACAAAGCGGATTGCAATCACGCAGGGATCCCAGCCGACACCCCCTTCCCGGACCTCCCACAGACCCGCAAGGCCCCACGGGCTCCAGGACCCGGTCTCCGCAGCCTAGGCCTACCCGGGTGGCTTGGGGCAAATTCCACCGGGGTTAAACCGGGCGGTGGGAGGGGTGGTGGGAGGGGGCTGTCCCAGGAGCAGGACCTCCGCAGCCCAGTATCCCGCCTGCGAGGCACGGAGAGCAGCGTCGGCGCGCAGGACCGAGCAGACCCGCAGGCATTTTCCCAGGGTCGCAGCCCCCTCCCCCGTGGGCTCAGCCGCGCGGCCGGCGCCCCCCACCGACTTCCAAGCGCTCCTGTCCTCGCAGCTGGAAATCTCGCCGACGCCGGAGCTGAGAAAAGGCGGGCAGAGCTCCTTTCGGTAAGTTATGAATGGGTCGGAAGTGTTGGCGGAA